TATTAATATATAATTATTAATAATTATAATGTTTATTTAATTTATGATATTTTAATTATTTAAGATAACAATAGTTGATAAATTTTTTGAATGAAATGAAATCATTCTTAATAGAATAATTTCATTTCATTCAAATAGAACGAGATGTTTTTAAATTGTTGGCCTTCAAGATTTGACAAATTAATAAATTTTCAGTGTATTAATGATATTTACTATTGGCAATATTTGATATTGTTGGTAAAATTACAAAGAAACGTATAAAGTGATATGTGATTCTCAAAATAGCGAGAGAAAGATATGGCGTCAGCGTTCTCCCCGTCTCTCGCAAAAAAAGAACGAATATAAATCACACTGGCGACACATTTCTTCAGCAGTATGATAATCGGTTGTTACGCATCCGCGCTTCGTGCGAACTGACACAAGCGAGATAAGATTGTCGCGCGATATTTTAGACATAGATAATATTTTTTCATAATCTCTTTCGGTCAACAAGCACATTAATTCTATTATAACAATGCGGATGGGACGAGCAATGTATAATGATAAGAATTAGCTATAATTCCGATAATAACTGTAAATCTTATAATAACTGTAAAGAGTGTAGGTTGTTGATATGAAATGAGAATAAAACAATAATCTTTGGCGATAACGAAAAAATAAATGATGACGTTGAAAAATAAGATAAAAGTATCATGGAATGAATAAAAGAAGATATTTTTAGATTCATAATAAGTAGATAATTATTCTAAAGAATTCGCGACAATATTTCATTGTTTTTAGCCCATTTTTAACGCGAGAACAGTTAGGTAGTTTATTGCAGTAATTAATTGTAGTTTTATTAAAGTTAAACGCGATTATGTCAGATGGTTAGAATATGAACTAATGGAGGAAGCGGATATCGATAACACTGATATATATGTATACATGATAATAAGAGATGATATTAGAGTAAGGATCCTGGCACAGACTCATGTATACTATATAAAGCATAAAAAAATCAATCAATCAGAATCCTTTCTTTCAAGGAAAGAAAGGAAATAAAGGACTTGGATTGATTCATTTTCTTATGCATTATGTGTTGTGCGTTATGTAAGAGTCTGTGCTCGCTTAACTATTGTATATATATATATAATATCGAGAATTTAATTTATCAAGTATCATTTATTACATTTAAGATAAATGTACTATACCAGAAAAAGTTTTAAACATCTATCATTACAAAAAATTAGAAATATAAAATATGTAATTTTTTTATTTAAAAAGAAATTTCTTAAGGGGATGCTGGAGTTATCGACGGAATGTCAATTCGTATTTCTCAAACTATTTCGTTTTCCTAATACAGAATAAAAAATTCTTTTCCAGAATAAAAGAAAAAAATGCAAATACTTTTGGAAAAGTATAAACCAGTATGAAAATCTCTAAAAAATTATAAATTATAGTTTTCTGTTACAATAAATTCTTCTTTCACATATATAAATGAATGCAAGAATATATCCAAACAGAAAGTACTTTCTCATATTTGAATAATTTATAAGAATATTATGAGACCTTCAAATTATGATTTTGAAGCTTATAAGAGAAATGGCTTGAGAAGTATGATTTGAGTGTGCATAATCTCGCATTTATGTGATATATAAGATATAGCAGAACAAGAAATGTATATAATGTTTTAATGATTTACTTAATGTACATAATGTTTTAATTACTATATGTAACATTTCCTTGATGTAAGTAATATTTTATTTGGAATTAAAAATCTATTTTATCGACATTTATTAAGTTCGGTCGTTCAGCATCCCTTTAAAACTCTTGATTTTTTTCTGCATTCTATAAAGGTCACGAATAAAAATAAATTCATGAAAAATTAATAATGCCTAGGAATAAGTATATTCTTTTGATCGCTTAATTTGAAATTGACGGTAATTAATAAACGATAAATAAATATACGTCTTTAATGTGTTTTGATTAAACAAAACTGAATAAAGGAGAAACATAACATGTTGTTCAGCATCCCTTTAAAACTCTTGATTTTTTTCTGCATTCTATAGAGGTCACGAATAAAAATAAATTCATGAAAAATTAATAATGCCTAGAAATAAGTATATTCTTTTGATCGCTTAATTTGAAATTGACGGTTAGTAAACGATAAATAAATATACGTCTTTAATGTGTTTTGATTAAACAAAACTGAATAAAGGAGGAACATAAGTGTTGTTTCATTAGTTGAAAAAGGAATATTCAACAAACAGGCAATCTATTCAAAATACTCTCTTGCATGTATCATATTCCTTCGTAAGAGAATGTGTTTGAGAGTGTCAGAAATAGGCATTAAAATAATAGAATACCTGAAAATGGTCCACTCTCACCATATGAGATGTAAAAGCGGTGAAATACTTTTTTGTAAGAAAGATCTAATTTAAAAAAATTGATGTTAAAAGGTTTACATTTATATTACAAATTATAACATTATTAAATGTTAACTAAGCTTTTTAATAATGTTAGCTTTTACACGTTAATATAACCTGTGAATATAATCGTACAAATTTAATGTATACTATTGTACAAATTATAACTACAATATTAGCAACAATATTAGCTTTCATATATATATATTAATATTATTAATGTTATAATATTATTAATAATTAATATTATTAAATCATTGATATTGCTCGTAAAAAGAAAAAGATGAATCGTGCTAGAAATTTAACTAAAAAGTATAGATCTATTGTATCAAACACGAATGTAAGAGTTGTATTACGCTCACCATGATAACGTTGTTGTATTGGGAACCGCTGATGGTTAAAGATGCGGCCGTGGAGCAGGATCCTCGGCAGAAATACGCGTGATATCCGGTGGGGTGTAAGATCCAGTCGCTCCAGCCGATATCTCTAAAATTAATGTAGAGCTCGTCCCGACAGCACTCCGTCATCTCGGGTAGGCAATTCGAGTGCCTCTTGGGCCTGTTCCGCTGCGGCAACGGCTCCGTGTGGATTACTAGAAACGGCTTCAGAGTCTGTTCAATGGACACAGGCGCTTTATCGTGATCGGTCGAACAGGTTGTGCAGGCTATCTGAATGGAATGGTTCAATCGACGTCGAGCTATCCATTTCTTTACCATAAACTTCATATCTGTCTTTACCCAACCTTCTGAAAGAAAAAAATTAACGATTTTTTTATGTATAGTGTTGTAGAGGAGCCATAAAATTTCATGGAAGTTTATAGAAAATACGACTTATTCCAGACAGTATACATACACTATTGCTTAAAAGTATTTGCCCAATCCTAATTTTTGTATCTTTTTTATATACTTAAATTCCATTCTACTGTACTCCTTTACTTTTTATATATGTAGAATTTAAAATTTTTAAGGAAAATAAAAATTTATCATTATAATTTGCGATATTTTTTAATGAGTAAATTTTATTAAATTTTAAACGTTCAGCAATCGATTTTTACATCTTATGCTGATAGGTATTAAATATTGTTAGAAATTGTTTCGGATATTGTGATATGAAAAAGTTATCTGTTAGTATTCGTATCAAATTTTCGGTAAAAAACCAAGTGCAACGGAGGACAGGTTTGCAAAGAACATGCAATGCAATGGAATAATGAAATTTCAATTTGGTGGAAGATATCTATTACAGTATAGATTTATTTCTGACAAACATGGATTAAAATTGTAAGAGAAGGGAAGGGAAGGGGAAGGAGAGGG